TCAGTAAATATGTTAATGTCTTCTTCCGGAATACAAGTAATGATATCGTCTACATATCGGTAATAAAAGATTTGTTTGTTATAATTATTAAAAATTTTGTTTTCTACTAATTGTAAGGAAATTTCTACTAAAGACGGAGATGCGGGAGATCCCATTGGGGTGCCAAAAATTTGGTAATAAAATGATCCATTAAATTCAAAATAGGTGTTAGAGACAATGAATTTGATGATTTCTCTAAACCAATGTAAAGATAATGTGGTGTGAAGGCTAATTTCACTCCATCTGCTGGTGATGGCGTCTAGTATTAAGTCTAGTGGGACATTTGTAAATAGGGATATAACGTCTAGGCTAATTAGTTTATAATTATTGGGAATGGAAATATTATTAAGAAGTTTGACAAGCTCGAAGGAATTTTTAATGTAATATGGGGACTGTTTTGTTATTATTGTTAAGATATTACTAATGTACTTGGATAATTTGTATAGTGGAGAATTTATGTCTGAAACAATCGGTCTATAAGGTAAGTTTGTTTTGTGTATTTTAGGAAGGCCGTATAATCTTGGAAAGTATGGGTGTAAATTTTTTAAGTTTGTAGCTGTATCTTTTGTGATTTGTTTATTAGTAACTAATTTGTCTAGAAGTTTATGACAGGAGCGGTTAATGTGTTCGGTTGGGTCGTTGTTTATGGTCGTGTAGGTACTGTCGTCCGAGAGTGATTCAGTAATTTTTTGTAAATAGTCCTCTTTGTCAAGAATAACTGTGACGTTTCCTTTGTCTGCTCTTGTCACGATGATATTAGGATGGTTTTTTAAAAATAATTTACAACTTTTGAGATCTCTAAGAATGTCAGTATAATTCGAATTTTTTATATTGAAAGAATTGATGTACGAAATAAATTTTTTGCAAAAAAGGGTTCTGGTATGAGATTTCTGTTTAGGATCTTTAATTTGTTGCAAACCATTTTCTAAGTTCGAGAGTAATTTAATAAAATTAAAATTGTTAGGACAGTTGGGAACAGCAAAATTGGGGCCTAATGCAAAAATGTATCGAAGTCTATCTGGGATTTCAATAGATGAGAAGTTTTTTAGCCATTTGTTGATGACGTTTTCATCTAAAGTTATTTTACTATGTTCTATTTTATTTTGTAATAATTTGTTAAATTTATTTTTGTACGATTGTTTTAGGTTAGTGGAATGTTTATTGTTTTTAATATTTTCGAAGTGGAGAAAATCGTTGACAATTTCGGACTCAACGGTACGAAACAACCAATTGGTAATTTTTGCGGTGGTATTCCTGAAGTTGTGTATATTTTTAATGCAACTTTCTATCGTTAAAGAAATAAATTTTAAGCTAAGATTTTCTACTGTATTATCCTGTGACTTATTAGAAATAGGTTTGAATTTTTTTACATTGATTTTGTAAAAGTTTGGTATTATTTTTTCTTTTCGACATCTTAATAAGAAGACATGTTTATTAGTGTTTACAATGATTTTTGAATTTAATTTAGAAACTGCTTTAAATTGTGAATATATATAGATCCCGTAGTTGCGCCTGATAAATTCATAAAACGATTGGTCATCACGTGTATTGAAGGTTTCTTGCCTGTTCTTGTGTACTTGAGGGACGAATGGTTTGATATGACGATGTGGATCCATGGTTCGTAGAGTGTATTGTAGGTTTTTAAGAAAATTATATGATAACTAGTGTATTAAGTCAATAATCCTTTTTTCAGCCCAGGAGTGATATTTTTGAATATTCTTGAATTTGATGTTGATATATATGTTTAATTTGAGTTTAATATTCGGGCGTAACATCAATAAAATAGTATGAGTTTTTTTAAAATTTTATTTATTTAAAATCCATACGTTTCGGCTAGCATCTTAGCCATCATTCAGTGGTAATCAAGTTAACTATAAAAATTGGAACTAAATAAATTATATGAAAGGAAATTTCATGGAAAAACAATAATAATAATAATAGTAATAAAACACTTACAATTTTGTATCCTAATATAGCATATGAAACCATTATTAATCCATGGTATGAGTATGTGCACATTGATAAGATATGTATTTTTTAACACAAACATCACAAATGGTAAAACACACTAATAATCATGATAACTTGACAAGTTGTCGAAACTATGTATTTACTCTTCGGAGTTTAGGATAGAAATGTCACAACTTTCTCAAAGTAGTTTTTAGCATGTGTTGATATTTTTTGGAAATTTAAAAGGCGATGGGATTTTGTTATTTTTTAAGGAATTTTGACACGCTATTAAGAAACCACGTGTTCGTTTCGATAAGGGCCGTATTGTCATTGCGTTTATTTATGACTCTCTCGTTATGTAATTGTAAAAACAACCCCTCAGCGAATCTTCTTTTAATTGTATTCTCTTCAAAATGTAAAATTTTAGGGTTAAAAAAATCGATATTGTGATTTAAATTTTTAAAAATATTATTATTATTAAACGAATATTAAACTCAAATTAAACATATATAACATATTAAACGAATATTAAACTCAAATTAAACATATATATCAACATCAAATTCAAGAATATTCAAAAAAGATATATATATATATATATATATATATATATATATATATTTACAAGTGTAGGTATATATGTGTGAGTGTATATGCATATGTATAAGCACATATATATGTATTTATTATATATATATATATATATATATATATATATATATATATATATATTTACAAGGTGTAGGTATATATGTGTTTGTGTGTGTATGTATGTATGTATGTATGCATGTATGTGTGTGTGCGCGCGCGCGCGAGAATGGCAACGAGAGAATTAACATATTATCAACCACTAAATAGATTCAGCTATCCATGTCCTCAATATTGCTGAATAGAAATATATTATTACAATAAGCAATATGTGTTTAATTGACTAAAACTCAAATCAAAACTGTAATAAAGAAAGCACTGTAGTGATATTACTATATTATTTTGTAATATGTGTGAAGTATCAACCATAAATTCTTAAAATCTCATTATTATAAATATTATTATTTTCTTGCTTGGATATGCAATTGTCATAAAATAACTTCTTTTCACACAGTTATAAAATTGATCTAATTTATGAACTTCAAAATTATTTGAGAATTCAAATAAGGTTTTTGTAGTAACGTTACACATCATTAAAGACATAAAGAGTATCTAAACCCAGGGAAAACATGATGTTGAGATGCTGCCTGAAGTTAGCTGTATCACATTACAGAATTGTCAAATTTTTTTACACTGGGTTTTCCAACTTTTTGGGTTGCATTTTGCTGATACGATTAACTCACTATTTATTTTTTCCGGTATGCTTATTCTTGTCGCTCATTGCACAACGTTCGAGTTTTTTTAAATCTTTTTTAATCGATTCTTAATTATCACAACCATTTTCAACCCATTATTCAATTTAACTACTGGCCATCTGTTTAGAAGAATGCAAAAATCATGATTCCAAAACCAAATAAAGATTCATCTGCCGTAAAATCATATAGACCTATAAGCCTTCTTACATCCCTATCAAAAGTATTCGAAAGATTTATTTTACAAAGACTATTAGAAGATCATCCCGAAGAAACCTGGATAGCTAACCAACAAATTGGTTTTAGAAGATATCATTCAACAATTCAGCAATGCAACAGAATAACCAACTCAATCCTCACTGCCCTAAATAAAAAAGAATTTGGTTAGCATTTTTTTTGACATCGGCCAGGCCTTTGACAAAGTTTGGCATGTGGGAATATTATATAAATTAAAGAAAATATTTCACGATTTTGGAATCATACTTATCTAGAACTTTTACTATAGAACTTTTCAAATTAAATAAAATGAAGAACTCTCCTCTCCAATACCAATTCATTCCGGTGTACCGCAAGGTAGTGCTCTCAGTCTCAGACTCAGCTCTCAGACACCTTTGAGGTAAACGAATCGGTCTGTAACCTTGAACTTTATTTGGATTTTTTCCAGGTTTCGGAAAATTATGATTTTAGCAATTTTTCATTGATTAGGATATGATTCAAGTCTTATTATACCATTGAACAGGATTGTTATAAACGGCAGGTTTTGTAGGGAAGTTCTTTAAGTATGTTAATATTAAAGTTGTCAACGCCCAGTAAACATGCGATATGGCCACAACATCGTGGCAATATTTTATTAGGTCGTGTGACATGCGGTTCCCATATTCATTTTCCTCGATATTTAATGGATACGGCCGCAAATTTATGTAACTATCGAACAACTATCGAGGTTCGGTCTCTGGCGCACGTGGCGTTCGTGATACATGAAAATCGACGTTGACCCACATATGTTTGTTTATTATGATAAGACCGTCTGACGTAAGGCGTTCACCCCAGTCATGACGTCATTGGCGAATGAAAACGATTCGGTCATGACGTCATACAAAATGGCGACTCAGTTATGACGTAATAGCACCTGAAAGTGATGACGTAATGCAATTAATATTCTTTCTGTACGAATAAGCATTTATTTACGTGAATAATAAGAAATTTTACAATATTTAAATATTACAAATTAGAATTGTAGTTTTGAAATTATAAAATTTAACATGAACTATACTAGAAAACTTTTTACAAATTATTCAATCTTAACATATTAATAACAGTATATTTAATGAAAATTGTTGTATATCTAATGAACGTAATTCTATTTTTGAGGCGTGAAGTGTGAAGTGTTGCATAAGTATTCTATCGCCACTTCCTTATACATCAAACAGCCTGCCTATTTTTCATTATTTCATTCTATCGCCAGTTCATTGCATCAAATGCCAGGATACAGATTATGCACATATGACATACTGCCCCAAATTTTGGAAGTTTTCTAAAACAAATTCAAACATAATGTGATTTACTGTATATAATATAATATATATATACAGCTACCATATGTGTAGCTACCTACATGTTCAGTGTACAAATCTCCATCATCTTAAAGTCGCTTTTAACACATACATTTTAAACACTGACTGATTTCATTCTATCGCCAGTTCAATACATCAAATGCGAGGATACAGGATATTCATATATGATGTACTTCTTGGAAGTTTTCTAAAACAATTTGAAACATAATGTGTTTTATTGAATCTAATAATATATATACCACTCCATATGTGTAGCAACTTACATATTCAGGAGACAAATCTAAATCGTCTTCGAGTCGCTTTTGCACATACATTTTTTTTAACCTGATTGAATTCATTATATCTTCAGTTCATTATACATCAATACATCAATCAAGTTCATGCATATATGACATACTGTTCCCAATTTAGAGGTTTTCTAAAACAATTATAAATATAATGTATTTGTTACCAAATAATATATATACAGCAACTATATATGAATCAACTTACATATTAAGAAGATAAATCTCCATTATCTTCAAGTTGCTCCTAAAAAACATACATTATTTGAGCCTATCTAAAGATCTGTATATTGTTCATCGTTTCATTCCAATTTTGTACGACTTCTGAAATAAATATGAACATGGCATACGTGTTTGCTGTTTATATATATTTGTATAGCTATTATATTTGTAGTGACTTACATATTCAAACAATCATTCACGATCCGTTCTCAACCGACTATTTAAGAGATTTAAGAAGTGAGGTTATGTCGAACACATGGATATGTTAATGTCTTAATTTAGTAAAATAATTATTTTAACCTTGATAAACGATCCTTATTATTGTCCTCAGATTTTGTAAGATATGCTATTTGGTTACCTCCTTTGTCATCTAAAAATTCGACATAAAATAACGTTTCTTCTTCATCCCAGGATATAATGCACTAAATGGAATTCAAAATCGTGAAGTAATTACATATCTATATAAATAATATATGATATACTTACAGTGTCATTTTTCTACACTTTTCTACAATTATCATAAACAAGTTGCTTAACTAACGAATGTAATTATTATACTAAAGAAAATATAACTTGATGCATGATAAATTCGTGACATTTTGCGCCATTTTGTACGCGGGTTAGGTTAGCTTTCGTCAAAGAAACAGTCGGTTCACCAGTGGCCACGGCGCGCTGATGTAAAGCTTTCTTTGTATGGTCACACACCCAGCA